AGTCCTGGGGGAGCGCGAGAGTCGAACCTCCCCTTCCCCACTCGCTTGCTTTAAAGGGATTAAAAAGCCCAGCCCCACTGAACACGGGAGAGCAGGACCCAGCTGCTGGCTCAGCCATGCCAATAAATAATTAAAGAGATGTGGCTCGTTTTGGGCTCAAGGCCCTTTGAAAAGGGGGTTACTAAAAGCAGCGGCTTCCCATTGTCCGGCAGAGGAAACTCGTACATCCAAGGCCGACCTCAGCGCGGGGAGAAGGAGGGGAAGAGCAGAGCTGACAGGAACACAACCATCAGCACTGCTGCAGCCTTGTTTTGCCTGGCTGGGTTTTTTAGCTCTATTTTTGCTTTACCTTTCCAGTGATCAAAGCAAGGGCAGCCTCTCCCCTCCACTCTCCTGGTTGTGCTGATTTTGCATCCCCTTGACCCTGAGTCTGCCACCGGTCTCAAAGGCAAACCACCAAAGGCAAACCACGGAGCCTCCTGCCGAGCAGAGGCCTGTCAGCGTCTCTCAAGAGCAGGGGCCAGGCAGGCGGAGGTGCTGAGAAGGCACCAGAGCTGCCTGTGGGGATCAAGCCTGCTCCTGCGGGCTCCTTGTGCCCTGCCAGAGGTGGAAGCTGTTAAAATCAGGGGATTTCTGCTTCCCCACTTCTCCCCTGGAACCAGAGCAAGCCACAAGGCTGACCAGCTTCCCTCCAGCCGGTTTCCCCGGTGCATCAGGCTGCTTGAAGGGAAGGTCTGCTCTGCCTTGCATGGCCAAAATTAACCTCCTCCTTGCCTCACTGCTCCTCTGATCAAAGTCACAGCTTTGAAAAAACTGCTCCAGGCTGCAGCCCAGCAGTTGCCGCACGGTTTCCCCACGTGAAAAGCTCTCCCTCCAGGAGGAGAAGGCAGGTCATAGCCTATCAGTCATACAACCTTGTGCCAGACACAGTGTCTACGCCAGAGTCCTAAACAACAGCTCAGCTATCACTACTTGTCAGATGCCTCCAGCAAAACCCCAGACAGCTCCACGCAGTTTTTCTGTAAGAGCAGAGCAAGCTCAGCAAGTCTCAGCAGGGACCCAGCCCCCAAAGGATCCAGCTCTCGCTCCAGCAGACAGTTTGGTATCGACACACGCTACTCGGGAAACCATTAAGCTGTCTCTTTCAAAGCAGAGCAGACCATACTTTCTTTTTTTTTTTTTTTTTACTATGGCAAAGCAATACCAGTAAGTCACGGAGAGGATACGTATCCAGCAGAAAGGATTCCAGGAGGTCATTTGCCAAAGGAAGGTGTCCCCAGCATTTGATCAGGGAGGAAGATGGGATGGCACAAAAGCACATCAGCAGCAGGTACGGCAAAAGAGAAGAAAGTGAAGCAGAGATGCAAGCAGAGGCCACAAGGGGCTGAGCCTTTAAAAGCACGGATAAGCAGTTTGATCTACAAACGAACCCGCGCGAACAGGCAACCTCATCAACAAGGCAACCCTGGGGATGCTCCTCCTGTGCCTCAAGCCACAAGCTCCTGCTCTGCTCAGCGCCAGGGGAACGAGACACGTTCCCCGTCACTTCCCAAGCAGCCAGGACCGTGTCTCTTGTTTGTCACCTGAACTGGGACCACGGGTGGTAAACATTCACTCCAAGAGGGATCTGCTGCACGGAGGCAGCCCAGATACAGCTTTTCCTAAACAGCTGTCAGCTAAAGGGATTGGCAGAAGAGGGTGGGTTTTTTCCTCTTTGTTTTGCTTGTTTTTAATGCTTTGTTTGCCTTGAACTGCGCTGTGAATGGTTGGGAATGAGTGAGATTGTTACAAAGAGAAAACTCAAAGGTGAAATGCAGACAGCAAGAGCAGCATTTGACAGCAGTTTCTACCGAACTGAAGGAACAAAAGATGGACACAAAGCCTGTAAAGAAGGGACTCATTATCCGTGATCCCCCGCCCACGAACTACAAGCAAGCTTCTCATTCACACACCACCTCCCAGAAAGGAAGCCTGGACTTAACACACCTGCTTGAGACACAAACCACCAGGTTAAAGATCACTGCATGCTGCCTTCCCACAACAGAAAGACGCTATAAACACACAGGGCCCAGTCTGCTTCCCATTCTGCTCAGATCTTTTTACTCTATTCCCAGCTTTCTTACACAGTCGTGATAAGTTTGAACAGTAAAAACGTACCCAAGGACCTCCTCATGGCAACACAGAACACGGAAGGGGGATCCAGCACGCAACACACAAGCGAAGCTGGTGGCCAGCACATGCCCTGCAAGATCTCGCTGTGCCCTGATAAGGTGAACAGGCGTTAAAACAGCATGTGGCAGCAGACAGAGCCAGGGGACAGCGACGTTAATGCAAGGGGAAAAATAGGTCCTTTCTGCTTAACACCTCAGAAGAGGAGATTCTGTCACACAGGCTAAACGTGGCCCCCTAGCCCAGCCCTCCCACATGCCCCGCAACCCCCCCACGCCGTAGCCCTCGGCACAACCCTTGGCAAGGAAGATCCAGTCAAAGACACACGTTGAGCTCACACACCGTCCAACCAGACCTCGCACAGCTCAGCTACAGCGTGGCGGGAGGAGATGGGTGTTGTCAGCACAGCCTGAGCAGCGAGGGAGCCCAGGCACAAGGAGACAAGCGCCCTGCCCGAGGTCTCACAGACATCTCAGTCTTTGCCTGCAACCAAGTGGGAATACCATGTCTTCAAAAGATCACCGAATGAAAAAAAAAAGGTGAAAGCAGGATCAAAACACGTCCCTTCCACATCCTCCTTTTCAGCACCAGCTTCTGTCCACCTGTAACTTGCTTGGTTTCCCGTCCAGCAAGTGTCTGCACCCTGCAGGGAGGACTGCAGGCTGACATTTGCAGTCCCAAGCACAAGCCAACCACGTTTATTCTCCCTGGCTCCCAGATAAGCTGCCAACTCATTCCTCACCTAGGAAATATTCACTGTAGAGGCAAAAAATTTAAAAAAGAAAAAAGGCAGAAAAGTAGAAATGAGGGGATCCAAACTCTTCTCCTACCTCTGAAATTTTGTATTCACAGGTCAGCTTCTTGCCCCTGACACCTTCATTCAGAGTGAGGATGAAGCCCATGTAATCTGCGTAGGCCTGCAGGAGAGAGCAGGGCATTAGTGAATACGCAGGATCTGTTTGAACAAGTAGCGCAGCATGGGAGCACTCCTGCAAGCCAGGGGAACCTTTCCCAACACACAACGCTGCTTGCTCAGAGACACCCAGGGTGCAGGGCTTGCCGAGAGGTTACTGCTATTTTTGGCGATTGCAACAAGAACTCTGCATCTCTGTAAAAATCACAGAGAGGAGAATCCTAAAAACGCTCGCATTGCCCCTGAAATACTTCTCTCAGCTCCCTGTCTCCTCTCAGGTCAAATTCAAACTCCTCAGCACTGCAGGGTCTCAGCTGTGCCCTTTCCTCCTTACACCATTCTCCCATGCTTATGCACGACTGACAAGTGGGAGACAGTTCAGGCTCCTCACTGCTCTCCTCTTTAAATTCGCTGCTCTTGAAGCATCCTAGCGAGTGCAGCTCCACAGCTCTAAGCCTTAGAAAACACCTAGCACGCTGCCAGCTCCCCCTCCTTGGGCCCCTGCTTAGGAGCAACTCCTTAAACCCAGGAGACTTAACAAAGGAAGCTGCACTCCAAGGCTTGCTTGAGGCCTGGCTATAACTTAAGGTTCTCTTAAGACACCACAGAGCAGCCATTAAGCAAGAACTTGCTCCTAAGAGGTGAGACAAGCCCGAGCTAACACGCTAATCCCTCAAAGGCAGAGAGGGGAGAACCTGCCTGTTCCACCAGCTCCACACATACTGTAAACAAAAATTACCCAGGAGATTGAAGGCCTTGGCTCTAGAGCCCCTTCCAGTACGGCAAGGTGGGAAGGCCCCAGGAACCAGCCCAGCCTGACGCTGTTACAGGAGCAGGACCGTGCTCAAGCTGAGTTCAAACAGCACTGGGTAAATCCAGTTCTGATACAAGGTATAGGCTAGGTAGGATGAGATAGTCACCAGCTTCTTGTCTAGCTTGTTGGGAGAGAGCAGCAGTAATTTTTAAGCATCTCTGGTCTCCCTGGCTGAGTCCTTTGTGAGAGCATTTGGCTGCCAGACTTCATGTCTCACTGCTAAGTCATTTTCTACAAACAGACTCTTCTGCTTTAAACCACAAATCAATTAATTTCCCATTACCTGCCCAAACCTGCTTTACCTTGTGACTGTTCCCAGACCAGGTCTGGCTGCCACTGAAAAATTACAAGCGCTTACCAGTCTTCCCCGACCACAGAGCCGTACCTGAGAGCGCTTCCACTTGGCCATGTCGGAAACCACGTTTATCTCCTTTCTGGGGATCATGAAGCTTTGCTGGAGAGGAGGAGCCACCTCCTCAGAGGTGCCTAGGAGATGCAAAAAGAGAAGTAAAATAGAGGCGGTGGAGAAAAAGAAACCTTCCATCTCCCTTTCTCAGAAATCAGCATTCAGTTCTCAGGAGACAGAAAGCAAACAAATCCATCCCAGTTCATGCCATTATCGCACCAAGTCCTTTTCACCAAACAATATCCTCAGATCCCTGGATAATCTACTCCTAAGGACACTGCATGGCTTCAGGAAGTGGTATAATGTTTGTTTTCACCACTGAAGATGCATTTCCCATCCAGACAGAGAGGCTGGTGCAGAAGATAACAAAGACAGGGCCCAGCTAGTTTAATTAGCTCTGCCTAGTGAACACAAACCTCAGGTCGCGCTGAAGCACTGAGCTCTCCTCAAAAACAAGGCACAATTTGTTAGGTGTTAAGCCTAAACTGTATTCCTCGAAAAAAGGACAACTCCTGCAAAGATAAAACTGGAGCAATTCAATAGATGGCAGTCCAGAGCCGCAGCCCCCGGCCCAGGCAGCGCTGGGGCTTGCAGGATGCCGGAACGCAGCCTCTTCCAGGTGGAAGCTATGAAGATCATTTAATTTTAAAGCTTTCTGAGAGCCCAGAATGTCATATTTAATGCAAATGCAAGCTGTCAACACATTAGAGGGGCTCTTTTCCCTGACAGCCCAACCAAAGGCGCAACGCCACGATTTCCAGAGCTCCGCTCTCAGCCGGCAGCGCCGCGATCAGACACCACAGAGCCAGAAATGCTCCACAAGGTTATAGGAACAAACACAAATTACCTCTAGCACAGCTTTTAACAGCAAGAGGCAGTGCAGCAAAGCACGGCAAAGGAAACCGAGTGTTAACATGAATTTACAAACTCTGTTAGTCACCCAGATCATCTTTTTAATCCAGGAAATTCTGAAGGCATTTTCAGCACCAGCCACCCCAGCAACACTTCAGCAACTGCTCTCCACACTACGGCAAGTTCAAGCGCCCGCTCCCTAACACACACCACCAAACTCCAACTCTTTCAAATATTATTAGCTGCATTTACATAGAAAATACTGCCCAGAAGCATCAGCAGTCCTTACAGCAGCCCAGCAGTGCTGTCTAACAGGCAGATCAGGTTAAAACGAATCCCAAGTCCCATAGGCCATGCAGTCTGCTACACACTTGTCAGATAACCTTAGAAAGTCACTTCTCTGCCATTCAAGTTCACCATTTACAGAACAAATACATTCCCATCACCTGCCTAGGGTGTTACGGCGTTTGGCTCATTCCTCCACATAAGTTACAGTAAAAGTTCCAGGCACAAGGATGAGAGGAACAACATGCGAGGAATTTAAACGGCAGACACGCATGCCTTGCCTCTCTCTTGAAAATTCAGCACGCAACTAGCACCACAATGATGGAGCTCTTACTTTAAAAGAGCTTGTAATGAGAAAACAATTAAAAACTCTGGAGCAGTGGCAATAAAAAGGCAAAGAGTGACTTGCCCATTAATACAGATAACACATGAAGCCCAGAAACGAAGCCGGGGCAGTGTCTCTGGACTAGGGGGATCCAACCTCTGCCTCAGCACAGAACTTGTTTCACCTCCTTGCATTTGTTTCTGAGCCATCGCTGCTTCTGACACACGCTTTTGTGTTTCCTCTCGGGGAGGAACCACAGACACTCCAGGCAGCAAACACGGTGGGTGGCCGGGG